GGAATGCCTCTGGCTAGCATTGGAAGCATGAGGGTGAACAACCTTTGATAAAATATAAAACTAACTCTGAAAGGGTTAACATTTAAAAATGTACCAGGAGATTACTAACCTATGTGGGTTTTGACAAATTCATACGCTTCAGAGAACCCTGGCTTCCTGGGGCAAATACTGTAGGTATTGGTACTCGTCGATCTCAAACTCTTTTGTAAGATCTCCATTCAGATAAATTCAGCAGACACAAAACATCAGCCTACCTGCAGACCTTCTGATGTGTGCCTACACCACTTATCTAGAGCCACAGCTGCACTCAATAAGGTTATAGATCTTGTTTATAACCCAAGATGTTAAAGAACCTTCATCTTTAATTTATCCGACTGCGCGTATTTCAGTATACAACGTCTGATATGTGTAATTATTCACTATTAGGATGAAAGTAGCAGTCCTGCTGCAGTATGTAGTACTGAAATTCTTCAGCAGAAATGGAGGAGTCAGATGATGTATTATTCACTTCATAGACCATCACAGTTCATCAAGTGAATATATATGAAGTCTGAGTAATTTTTAGACTTTTATACACATGTATTATTCAGACTGAAAAGAATGGACCCATCTCACCTTCAACACACATTCAGAGAATAACAGGAGCTTGTAACCTGTTGTAGCTGGCTAATGTATGTATTGGATTACACAGCATTAAAACAAATGATCAAATATTTAATTTGAATTCTTAATTAAAAATATCAACAGAAAAATATTGATCAGATACTGCAAACTGTCAAGCTCAACATGATTTACAGTAATGTCAAATTAGAAGAAGCACAAAAACCTTTGGCAGGAAAAAAGATCTACTGGTTCAAATTGATGACCTGAATCTTCTTCAATTTCTTTTGGACCCAAACCATCTATGCTGAACTTCAGTTCAGTTTTCCAGTGGAAGCTATCCATGAAGACTGTGGCATAACATTTATAGTGTGAACTTATCACATCAGTGATGATATTTTAATCATAAAGAAAAAGAAACAAAGGCAGAGACAATGTAGCCATATGGCCCCTGTTTCTTTTCCTCTTGCTAGTGGAGATGACAAGATGGATTTAAAGGGTGGATTACCTCATTAAAAAAAAAATAAAGTACAAAGGGGAATCACTGACATTTAGAATCCCTGCAGCAAAAAAAAAATATTTACATGTTGTGGCACTTTAATTGATATTGGAGGGTTTTTTTTAACCCCTTCCTCTTCATTTCAAAACTAAAGGGCCCTACACAGAAGAGAGTCTCAAGGCTCACATACACAGAAGAGAGTCTCAAGGCTCACAGATACTGCTTCCATTTTATTATACCTCTGAATGTTAATGTTAACTAGATTACTACCAGATTTCAGGAAATACATGGATTACCTTTCCAGAGGCTCTGAAGTAAGTATTTTCTGCCTTACATGTCAGACATAAAAGCAGTTCTTATCAATATTTACTACTGACATGGATGCTACATCTACAAAGTGATGGAGGTTTCAGGTCCATGAGTCTCAGAAGTAGTTTTTAATGCCATATAGCCAAAATAGACATATTGACGTTGAAATAGACTCTCTCCAAACGGTTCAGTTTTACACACAGTACTGTGTGTAAAATGTGTGAACTGGTGTGTCCAATGCTGAAGGGTGTGCTGTGTAATGTCTTTTCAAGCAAACACACTTTTCTCTTTCCAAGAATTCATCTTGACAAAGATAAAATTAAATGTTAATATAGGGATCTAATTGTACGCTTGATCTTCATTTTATCTTCTATTGCTGTTGTTGTGGTTTTTAAATTATTAAAAACTCAGTTTCCTCTCTTCTTTTTTTTTTTTTTTTCACCTACTAACTACACTTGCAAGCACCATGGCTCTTTTTGCATTGTAGCTTTACTAGAGAAAGGTGCCACTGCTTTTGATCAAGGGGCTTCCTCAAAAGCGCTCTTCCCGAAGCTGCAGATGCGATTGACATTTCAGATGCCATATTTATGAGTCTTTCTTTGCATTACATTCAACGCTCTTCGCACAAGCCATTACTTGAATGCTTCTTTCTGAGAAGGGCTCCTCTAGGGACTAGACTTATTACTGAAGTTTGGAACAGCATTTCCATAACCCTTCTTTTCACCGACTGGAGCTAATTCATAGAGATATTGGCTCAGATCATTTGACATACATACAAAAAAGCTTTGTTTGTTATCAAGAGGCACTAAATATTATAGTAATAACTCTAGAGATTTACCAAGAGGAAGATGGAGAAGGCATTATATTTGCTCTTCTGTTTTTCTATTTTCAGGTAAATAATTTTTAGATTTACTAAGTTATCCTTAAAGGCAAGAGGAAAACATAGCTTTAAATAAAATACAGTTGCAAAATAACACATGCAATTCTACTAATAAGCACAATTTATGAAGATTTTGAGTAGATGGCATTTGATGTGTTTGGGTTTTTTTTAAATATAAAGACAAGCAATCGTAGTTTGCAGTTCTCTTCAAAAGAGCAGAAAATGACAAAAAAGCATCACCAAGATGTGTTTCTTTACCACACCTGCCATAAAAGTGAAGGGATGGTGTAGAAGTATGCCACTGTATTAATAAATTACAGGAAGCCCACAAAATAACAACTTGTCTTTATACAGCAGTCATCTTGAAGTAGTTGTGTGAGGTATGCAAGTGTGACTGTGAAAGTCTGCAGGGGGTTAAAGTCCAAGTGCTTAGCTTGACCCTTGTAAGTAGGCTTTGCAGCTTGAGCCAAGCTCAGAGCAGCTCTGTGTTACTACAAAGTGAGCAGTACCCACACTAGCTCAGGCACACCTGTGTGAGCTGTAGCGGTGGGCACAGACCTAGAAGGATCATGTGAGCATGGCTGTGGGTATCCCAAATGTTGTTTCTTGTATGGAAAGAAAGTACACTGCCCATATCTACATATCTCCCCTCATTTCCTTAGAAAGACAACTTCTGAGTTAAGTCATTTTATTTAAGAAGGTGAAAGGCCCTGGGTTTCACAGTGCTAACAATCCAGAAGCATCTACAGATCTCCGATCTACAGATCTTAATTAAGCAGACAAGGGTGGGAGATGGAGGAACAGTGAGTTAGGGCACATCTCCCTGTCCTCCTGCCCCACTGATTTCCGTCACTGCAAATGGAAAGCAAATGATGAAATGTCACCCAAACCCCCAAGCCATCAGACATGTAAACATGACTATGATATAAGAGTTACAGTTAACTCCATGGTCAGCACAGAGGAATATTTCATCACTACCATGGAAGAATATGATCTTTCGAGGTCCCTTCCAACCCCTATGATTCTATGATTCTAAGAAGAAACAGAAGAACAAATACAAACTTCATCTAGCACTTAGCTGAACTGAAAAAGGAGCAATAAACCATTCTTAATGAGGATACTGTACCTAATGAAACTGGATCTGGATTCACTGGACTCTGTTGTCTGGAATGACTACTGCTGCTGTTACCACCTTTTTTTAAATCTTCTGCATCACTGTACCGCCGTATCCAATAATTAAGCTCCTCTCGGTCTGCTTCTTGACATCGCCGTAGTACAGTGAGAGATCGCCTGGTTTTTTCCACCATGTCCATTATACAGTTTAACAGCTATTTGTAGTGGTAGATGGGGCAAAGAAACAAAAAAGAATTTTATTCCTAAGCTGACAGAAAAATAAAGACAACATTAATGTGCTGAGTGTCTGGGTTTTAATAATGAAGGACTCCGAGAATTTCTAGCCTTGTTTTAAGAATGACAATTCCCTCCTGTTTTAATTGGTGTTTCTAGACTGTACAGATAGGGATTTCTGGGGTAAGGGTGAAGATAAAGAAGACAAGATTTTAACAGACTGTAGTCCCACTCCTAGTATATGACACCAGAGAGGCCAGGAGATCTGGTCCAAAACTGATGCTTACAAACATTATAAAGGGTAATAAATTCAAAGAACAAATCCATTGTGTCCCAGATTCAAGGTTTATACACCAGAGTCCATTCCCCTTCTGGCAGCCTGTAATATTTAGGATACTGCAGCAGGCACTTAACAGCAAGGCCTGGTATGAGCTACCTAAAGGGGAACATCAAGTCCTCTGATTTAATCAACAACACTTTCAAAATTTGTCCTGGATTCAGACTTGTTTTTAAAAGAAAAAAATGTAATTCCTATCTTAGAAGGGCTCCTTTCTGACAATTATCCATAAGAGTACATTTAGCCCTTACATGGTCAAGGTGTTTCCACTCTTCTGCCCATTCTCTGTCTGTTAGCCTGTGATCAATCATTTCTTCTTGACGTGTGCCATGCAACCCTGCCAAAAAGGAGCAAATCATGTTTACAATGTTGGTAGTCCTCTAGAGGGGAACAAAAAAGAAAGAAGAGCCTATCAAAGAAGTACATCACACATTACCTGGTCTACTATCAGGAAGGCCACCACAAAAATAAATGGATGCTTAAAAAATTTGCTCTAAGTTCTCTTTAGCACTTTTCCCCACACAAGATGCTACTGTTTCACTCAGTTTAATGTCTTCAGTTCTGCAAGTTCTGTAGGTTGTAAGATGACCTCTCAAAAAGGGATATAACACTTTCTGAATACATACAATTATTATATATAACATTTAATATAATATATAATTTTTCATTTGCACTGCTTGAAGAACTCAGCAAGACAATCGGTAACTCAGTGTATTGAATACTAGTTGTACTTCAGAGAGTTGAAAAAATATTACTATAAACTCAATGTTATTCTGCTAGATGCAGTATTTACTACCATGTCAACAGAGCATCATTAATGGTTCATCCTTTCACAGATGTTTAAATAACATGTGGTTAAAATGCAGCTCATATGTCAGAGCAGCTGACAACATGACACAACCCAGTATTTATTATTAACACTCAAGAAGAACCAACACTTGTTCTTTATTTAGCCTCCTCTATACAGATGCTGAATAATTGCAAATGTTCCTCTTTTACTGAAGATTTGTTTAAAACAAGGTAGAATAGTAAGTGCAGACGTGAAGCAAGCCAGGCAAATCCAAAAGCATCCCATTAAACAAAATGTGCAGTGTGGGGTGTGGTTGGTGCTACTCCTGTTTGCATCCCCTGCAGACATCCCCACCCTGAACCGTGCCTGAGATGTCACACAGAAAACACTTCTCCAAATGCTAACCACTTTCCTCTAGCCTACACTGAAATCGAACTATGTCAACGTTATCATCACAAATGTGGCATTAGAAGAAAAATAAAAGGCTCTACCTATTCTTGCCTAGCAGACATCGGAGTGTCCATGTCATCTACGCAACTGTGAAAGCACCAGCTCCTCCTCTCCTCTTTCTGACTCTCTTGCTTTAGAGTGCAACCAAGACAAAATTCAACCCACTTTTATAAATATAAATGTGAAATAAGGCTATTAAAGGTAGCTAAACCGACGAACAGCTATGAAGTCTACATCTGAATGGCAGGTACATTTAATTGTCAAAAACCCCCCTGTTCACAATACAGAATATAATTACAAGGAGCAGAGAAACCTAAAAAAGAACAATGCAGAAAATCAACATGCCTTACCCATAGGTCTGTTTCTGTCCCTGAGGTCCCTGTGATTGGGGTGTCTGTATGAGTCCCTGTAGTGGTGGGCAATGGCCATATCATCCAAACGATAATGCTGAGGTGGAGGTGGGGTGGGATGAGGCAGACCATTGGGCTGATAAGATAAGCCGTTATTTGGACTGTACCGCTGGCCTGGGCTAATAGTGCAGGGTCGCTTGCTTGGATGCTCTGAGTGCAAAGGCTCTCTGTCAAAGCCATTTTCTTTGGTTCTGAAAAACAAAGCAAAGGAACTTTAATTTACTTAGTGAGCAGAGCTGCTCGCGAACATGTACACCCACCCACATGTGCAGCTTCAGAAACTGAAACCTGTCCTTTCACTTTGCTCCAACTGTGTGGTGTTGTAGAACATTTCATAACACTGCTCATTCAAAATATACAAAGGACACGCTCATCTTGTCTAACTATCCCTTTAACTTCAGAAGCACTAGCAGGGTGAGCCTTCTGATGGAGCGGCTTAAAGAATTAGTGTGGAGAGTGAGCAGCCTTCACTGAAATCCTTGGCTGATGGGATGGATACATATAGAATTGCAAAGCTGAAATAATCAGTTGATACAGGAAGCTAGAGACTGTGAAACTCCTATGTTTAGTAGTGTTGTAGCATATAATAATCAGGGGAATTTTTTTTTACAGTTTTAAGGTCGCACATGTCAGTGTGCTGGAGCTCAGCTGCATGTAATGCCAAGATTAGCTCCCATCAAGATCAGTGTCACACTGAGACTTTGGGCAAGAATGACTTGAGATGATGAAAAACGCTTCCTTCAGAGATTTTTGTACTGTCTGGGCTATTTCAGTCAAAGGTGCTGTGAATGTCATTAATTTTGCAGGAAAGTGTGGTTAGGTTCAAGTTCTCAACAATGTTCAAGACTTCCTACTCCATTACTCTTACACAAGGGTTTTACGCTCAGGCAACACTGAAGAGTTATAAGAGAGAAGGGCAGTTTTTTATGTTACAGATACTCATTAGTTCAGTTCATAATCAGCTATCTCCAAAGAAGTCTCTACTTTGCACTTCTGCTTGAGAACCTGGAACTCACACTGAACTAATTATCCATTAAAATAAAAAAAAAAAAAAAAGGAAAAAAGTAAAAAGATTAAAAAAGAAAGAAAAAAGAAAGGTTAAAGCTACTTCAACAGGTTCACAACTCCTTTTAGGGAAGCTTTGTTTCACTGAAGTATGTTTTTATCTTTAACACTGGAATAAACAAACCCTAGAAAATATTAGATTTGAACAGAAAGGTTAATAGATATAAATATTGTAAACTGTTAAGGCTGCATCCTTCCCTTCAAAAGCCTTTATTAAGCAGCTTATAAGTTTGAGGGTTTTTTAAAGAAAACTTTCTCCTACATGATTTATTGATGGCATAACATGTCTTCCCAGAAATACCAATTTTTGGTCATTTTGACAGGAAGGTAAATTTTATCTAATTTTCTTGTTTGCCTGCTGCTAAAGAAAACCCTCCCCCATAAACCAATCAACTTCAAGGACTGTCTGTGGAAAAACATTCAATGTATTAATTGTTGCTCTTCAATAGGTTCGTCTTTAAGTCAATGACAGGAAGGATGAAAACAAATCTTTGCCAATACCCAGTGGGAGAGTGGATCAAAGCCAGATCTTGCAGCTACCAGCAATAAATTAAAAGAGGGGTTACACTGTTTTCAAAAGGAGTAAAGAGATTTTCCAAGGACTTCACCACAATCACTAATGCCAGAGAAGCTGCAGGTGTAGCTATATTTATATTTATATATAACTATCTTTTATTATACCTTAAATTGGCAAAAAGGGGAGAATTTTTTCACCAAACAGCAGGACAGCTGTAAAATTTTGAGCAGAGATAAAAAAGACATATTTTGTGGAACATGCACCTTGTTCCAAAGCAAATGCAGAATGGCTGTGAAAACTCCTAATCAGGAAAACCTGAGAACCATCATTTAATTTTAATGACTTCTGGCACGCTGAAATGGCTTGCAATAACTCCCAATAGGTAGTGATGTTTTTGACAGCTCTCCAAGACAAGTTTTGTATTGAGTTGCTGGTGTGTGTTTTCATTGCACATATCTACTGAAACTATAGGTCCAGGTCTTTCAGTTGTAAAAATGCTATGCAAGCAAAAAATGGACTTTCTTTCCAGTATGTACAAGCCAAGCTATTAATTTGGAAAAGTTCTTCAGTGTTATGGTTAGAATAATGTCTTACACGGGGGGTGAGGGAGGGACGCCGACCCAACAGAAACTGTAAATAAATAAATAACTTCATTGACTTTTATTTCTCAATGCAGGAAAAGCAAACCAGAAAACTGTAACAAATAGGCATCCTGCTTTCCTTCTCTGCACTATAACTAGACATTAAAATCGTATCTTCTCATACAAACATATATATTTGCACCTTCACCATACAGGTACTTCTGTGGTTTTTAGGGATGCGTTGTACTTAATTACCTTAGTTGGTAATGCACTGTAATGGCTAGGACAACAAACCAGCATCCTCATTTTCTTCTAGAACCCTGAGTTTAACTACCAGAAAATTAAAATTACCATTGAAACACATTTACTGAAATGAAATTCTTTCTTTTTGCTGCTATCCTGGGTAGTGGCTTTAGGGTCTTTTCTGGGTGTTAAAACTTTAATTCTACAAGTTGTTAAATTTTTTGCCCTGACCAAATAAACGACTTCAGGATACCAAAATGAGACTCTACATAAACTGTTTTTTGTGTTTCTGATCATATAAAATGTATAATAATGTAACAACTTCCAAAGTCTCATCAGAACAGGAATAACCAGCAAATTTACTATATCTGAATACAGTGATTATAGTAACAAAAGACAAAATCCTGAAGAGTGACATAATTCAGATGCCCTGAACTCAATCTACTGTTCTGCTTTTGATCTCACTCCTCCTCAATCTTCCAGGTCTCACCCTCTTGGGACAGCAGCATTTCCCCAGGTACCTGAGGAAGCACTCCTGTTTTATAGCAACTGGCAGAGCCATTTGAGTATAACTTACAAATCCAAAACTGTCACAGTTCTCATCTGATTTCATCTGCTTTTTATCTGATCCATTTGACTTTGCAAAGCAACAACAAGCTGCAAATCGGAAATAACACTGAATGTGAAGGAAGCCTAACTGACACATTTTCTTGTTTCTCTTTTTCTCACTTCTGTTGGTCACATTCTCCTTCATGTGAATGTAAATCAACGTTGTTGTTTGGAAAATTGGCAATATGATAAAGGTGTTCTTCAGCTATAAACTCTCAAGTGGTATTTTTCCTTGGAGCCATGATTTATTCATAATTAGAGATAGCAGAATAGATACTAGTCATTAGTCTGTACCTTTTTAACAGACTTTATGCTATTTCTAAGTTAACAATTCATTTTTAAATTCATAGAATCATAGAATGTTTGGGCTGGAAGGGACTTTCAAAGATCATCTAGTCCAACCCCCCTGCTACAAGCAGGGATAGATAGCTCCAACTAGATCAGGCTACTCAGAGCTTCATCCAGTCTCATCTTGAATGTCCCCAGGGATGGGGCCTCCACCACCTGTCTGGGCAACCTATTCCAGGGATCTGTCGGCCTCATACTGAAGAACTTTTTCCTAATATCTAACCTAAATCTACCCTTTCTAGCTTAAATCCATTACCCCTCATCCTGTCACTACAAACCCTCATGAATAGTCCCTCCCCTGCTTTCTTGTAGGTCCCTTTCAGGTACTGGAAGGTCGCTATAAGGTCCCTCAGGAGCCTCCTCTTCTCCAGGCTGAACAATTCCAACTCTCTAATTATTGTAATTTATGAATAATTTTTTGGGTAGGAAATCTGACCATGCAAAACTGCCTTGGATGGAAAATTAAGTTCCACCTGATCAAGAGTATTACACCAATGTCACTGAAGTCAGCTTGTGAGGAGGCAAAGCTGTTCACCTGCTATTTGTGCAAGATGCTTGGATTTTAATTGTACTTCCACCAGTAAAGTCTTGGTGACCAAAGAAGTGACAATGCTTTGCTGAAATAAAATACTTATTTTGTTTATAATACCGTGTTATAGAAAAGACTAATATTGCCTTGCTAACAGTTTACATTAAGAAAATTCTTTTAAAATTCCTCATAATTACACATGGATTAAAAGGAGCATAGCTGTAAGAGCTGTAAGCATCCTTCACCCCAGTGAGATGTGGAGGACTTTCTTCAAATAAGATTTACCAAACAGAATTATCAAAATTGGTCTCTGTGCCCAGGTACCTTTGACATAAATTCCTTGTCAGAGGTGCCAAGGTTACAGCAAGCACAGCAGCATGTTCTAAAGTCACAAAACAATCGTGGCCATTTTTTTTTTTCTTCTCACTCAAGCTATTCTAGCAGATTTTTTTGCTATCCCATATCCACCATGTAGGCAGCTGTCATAAATGTAGAGCCACTATATGACACTCTCATGTGCCATACAGCCCTCCCTAACAACCCTAAAGGATGACCAATGAGCCAAAATCCTTTTGTGGTTAATATATTAAAATCATGTTATTTATAACTAAGCATTCATTCGCCAAAATAAAAACCTCATATTGCTCCAAGTTCCTTTGTTTTACTACAGTAGAATGTAAAATCCAAAAGTTGTAAACAAAATATAGCGACCACTTTATTCATGACATGTCATGAACAAATTACTAAAATGTGTTGTCTCTTCAGGTGTCAGTTTTTCTCTCTTCCAGTGACTGATGGTTCCCAGTGTTATTACAGAAACAGATTGATCTTTTTAATGAGCTAGTTTAATAGACTCCAAAATCTCACCGTGGCTGCTCATCCGTGTCAGACCATATGCACCAAGAAAACACTCAGTAAAACACAAAGCTTTGCTGTCGGATGGCTCTATAAAACCTCACATACAGTAGACTCAGATATGCAGATAAATAACCAGAATTGGAAAATGCATAGGCAAAAAAGGTTCTGAAATTATAAACAGAAAAAATTCTGTATGTGGATTTTCTTTAACAAAAAAATCACAAGGTGGATGTGGTTATGTGCAACACACACTTTTCAATTCCTTTGCCTTATCCCTTACTGTATTTTACCTCTATTGGAATCAAGGGTATGCAGTTACCCAGGCCCAACAGAAAAATGTAAATATGGAAGAATGTGTATACATATATTTATAATATATACGTGTATGTATCTCATATATATACACACACACATCTGTACATGAGGCATATATATTACATACATACACATTATATACAATGTCCATATACATATCATTTCCCTTGGGAAGTGAAAAAGATATCACAATTTACTTTAGTGAGAGACATATCTCCAAACAAAATTATTCCAACTGCATTTAGTTCCTCTGGAAAGATGTTGCCTCTTAGTAACTTTTTTTTTTCCATATTCTAGCAACAGAGCCAGAGCAAACCCTTCTCTTAAAGGATGCCTCATATCTTCTGCTGAATTTTTATTAGTATATTTGAAAACTATTTGGATATCTAAACAAAAGGTATATACATTTCCAGATGTTTTCTCCTGCTCCTCTGTACATAATTAAAATAATTAATAGTGTAATGAGTATGAAGCCAGACAAGTATTTGGTTTCAATACTCATTCAGTCTAGGGATGCTCTGACTCCATGGACAGTTTTTTTGTGGTTTACTTACGTTATCCAAATTAAAAGGTATGCAAACTCCCATTCAATAAATTTAAGAACCTTTCCAATAGGACCTTTTCTCTTTACTAAATCTGTAGTACCAAGGTTCTTGAGTACCTAAGACAAATCCACTGAACTTGGTTCGGCCAAAACAACTGTATGAGTTTATTTTTATTTTGTGTATCAAGTGAGCTGGGCAGTCTCTTTTCAGGTCTCTCATGACAGCAAAGAATCTCAGGGTTAAGAAAGACAGGATAGGTTTTTTTCTGAAATGTCACTTCCCCAGGACTAAGGAGCCTGATTTCGGGCCGCAATCTACATACAGAGCCTGGTGGCTGACGGCTTTGGCACCTTGGAGCACGCAGGACAGTGGGACACCCCTTATTACAGCCCTTCCTGAGATACTGGGAATTCAAAGTTAGGATCTTACCCACAACACTGGAAGTTAAAAATCCCTAGCCCTCACCCCAAAAACTGCATTACTATCGAGAGGAACTGAAGACTCACTGAGCTGCACAAAGCACAAGAGAGACTTCAGCTGTGAAGCCAAAGACACTGGCTGATGAGCAAAGACTTCCAAGTTTGAAGGACAGCTATGTATTTTAACTAAAAGAAACACTGAGAACAAAGCCCATAAGCCCGGCTTAAACCTCTTCAGGTGTGGGCCTCAGTTTTAACTAAAAGATGAAGGCTGGCTTTAAAATCCAATATTCCAATCTGCTGGTCCTCTTATGGGCTATTCAAATGTTTGGTTTTTTTCTGTAAGACTAATCTGGGGTCTAATTTTCATTACCAAGTTCTTGTACCGGTCTTTCTCTGCACCACCTGCCCCCTCCCATGCAACCAAGACTGAAGGAACCACAGGTGAGACCAGTTATTACAAAATAACTGAAATCCAACTGTCAAACCGGGTCTCAAAGGACAGGGGCAGAGGTGGCAAAGGATTATTTCAGAAAACAAAGCAACTATTTTATTGCCCATTTTCCTTCATGGCCTTAGGGAGAAGCAAGTGATACTGCTCTCTATTAACACCAAAAAAAAAAGTGAGCTAGGGCTGTCAGGAAGGCACATCCCTCTTCTCCTCTGCATTCTCTGTCAAGCATACCTCACAGGCTTATGAGGTAATTTATTGTGTGTCTATCTACTTGTAGGAAAAATAGGGTGTCTGCTACTGGCACTGTACTACAGCATGACAATAGTTCAGTTAAACATCAGAAAATTCAGAAAATTAATCATCTTTCTTGGATGCAGTTAGCAAGTTTGTGTTAACACTAATGGCTGTTTCAGTTTGGTCTAGCAATCATAGAAAAATAGTGAAAAGGGGGCAAGCAGAAAAGAGCTTCTTTGCTGATACCCTTTGTTTTTTTGTTGGTCCATAGTAGTTTTCCTGAAACTCAATCTACAGCAAGCTAATTTCAAATACTTTCACATTTTCATCTACCTAATAGCTCTGTTACTTTTAAGTTTTGCTGTTCACTTCTGGCCTAACTAGGACACTTGCCATGTCTTGGGCATGCAGGGCATTTGGCAGAAGAGCATTATAAAAGTTTTCCACACTATACAATCCAAGGTAAACAAAACTAAGAAAAACCCAATATTTGGGCTTCCCAAAGGTAAAATGTATATGGCCAGCAAAATTTCTAACACTATAATGAGAAGACAGTTAAAAAAAAGCACAAAAGAAATTTTCTTGTAACACTAAACAAAGAATTTTATTCAAATAAGAAAAGCTGTTCCATATCCCTAATGCTCCTCTATTTCCTAACACTCGCTCGCCCTTTCTCTGTATGGACTCTTTCTCAGCTCAACAACAAAACAGATTCCAGTGGAACATTTTTCCTGTTTGGAAGAAATATCCTCATGCATATTAAACATATGGGAACATGTCACAGCAGAAGCAGTCAAAGACCTGAATGAACTCTGGAGCTTCCCTTGTACTTGCCAATATGCGTGCCTAGCCACTTTCCCCGTATTTACTGTTTAGTCCAACAATATCTGAAATACAAACGACTTGCATATGGAGCTGGAGTGATCTCCTGCTCAGGACTTTAAGCTACACAAAAATACTACGCACCAAATAGGGGGGTACAGTATTACTTCTGTGTGGACAGGACCACAGTGTGTCCTCACATGATTCTGCTGCCTGAATCACTGTGTGTGAATATGTATTTATATATATAGTGATATATCTGTACATGTAGCTCTCTATATACCTGTGTACACATACGTACACATGCATAAGCAGGGCCTGTTGCAACAGAACAAGGGATAACAGCTTTAAACTAAAAGACGGGGGCTTTAGACTAGATAAATAGAAGAAGTGTTTTACAATGAAGGTGGTGAAACACTGCCACGGGTTGCCCAGAGAGGTACACCTCATCCCTGGTAACATTCAACATCAGGCTGGATGGGGCGCCAAGCAACATGACCTAGTTAAAGATGTCCCTGCTCACTGCAGGGAGGTTGGACTAGGTGACTTTTAAAGGTCCCTTCCAACCCAAAATGTTCTGTGATTCTATGCACATATACACAAAGGTAATCTGCCTATTGCACAGCTGTGATGAAGGCAGGATCTGCATCCATGGAACATGATCCCAGTTCCCCACAGGCGCCCACCTACATGCTACCCCTCCCTGCTGGTCAAGCCTGGCACCTTTGGCCCACAGGAGGTTTCTGAGCAGGGCGCGACAGGCGCGGCAGGGCTCACCTGTCTGGAGTTCGCCTCTTCCCGTTTTCGTTCACATCGAGAAGCAGCTCTGAGGAGTCAACAGGTGAGGTGGTGCTGGCATCCAGAAGCAGCTGTTCATGCTGGGCGAGGTACTGGGCTGGGTTCTGCTTGGCTAGCCTTGCACAGTGCAGCAGCTCCCGCTGCAGCAGGGGCAGATTGGCCTGCAAGAGCATTGGACATGTTAAGAGGGCAGCTTGCAGGTACTTTCAACAGAGAAGAAGCAGAAAAATCAGAAATCAGAGGAAAGCCAGAGCATCATCTGCTCTGAGATGATGCTGTTGCAAGCATCCTGTTAGGTCTGTTGTGGTTAGCGGCCTGAAAGCAGACAGCCTCCTTATGGAGTCAGGTCATGGCTGTGCTAAGTACACATGGAAGGATGGGTGTGTACTGAAAATGGAAAAGAAACTGTAAATGCTGTGAGAAAACCAGGTCTGAGTTCCATATCTTTAAAAAAGGAAAAAACGCTGCCCTTGCTGACCGTATCCCCTTTTTTTCTGTCTAAAATCTGGGTTCCTATGGAGCAGCAGTTTCCAACAAGTGACAAACCTTCAATATATGCTTCCTATTCAGACTGCAGTTAGTACTCAGAAGCTGAAACCATAGGATCTGTGCCTTTTTAAGTGGCTTCAGCCACCACCCTTCACGGGGCTTGGGGAGAACAGGATTGCCCTCAGCTTTCCCAGTATACTTGCACTTGCACATTAAGATAAAGATTACAACACAATCTCACATCCCAGAGGTTCAGTTAATCACTAGGAGGGCTACAACCCTCCTAGTCAGGTGTTGCTTGAAGTATTTTTAACCTTCCTCTCAGGGCTCCACTGGGACTTGAGTCATGGGCTGGAGAGTACCAGAACTCAGACATAGAGAACTGAAAATGCTCATTGATCACTCAGTGGCACATTCTGCCCATCTACTGGGGTCATACTTATTCATATGTCTTGGCAGATCTGGGATTAAGGTGGAACTGTGCATCACACAGTTTACACATCCTGGGAAATATCTTCCTTTGCAGCACATGTGTACATCGATGCTAGGATCATAGGATCATAGATTGGTTTGGGTTGGAAGGGACCTTAGAGATCATCTAGTTCCAACCCCCCTGCTATTGGCAGGGACTCTTCCCACTAGACCAGGTTGCTCAAAGCCCCATCCAGCATGGTCTTGAACACATACAGTGATGGAGTATCCACAGCTTCCCTGGGCAACCTGGTCCAGTGTCTCACCACCCTCATAGTGAAGAACCCAAGTTCTACACTAGAGAAGAAAACAGTCTGATCTACCTGTTTGTGCCATAAGGTGGTGTGCCCTGACCTCTCTTGTTCCACAATAGTACTCAATGACTTGTTACTTGGGAATTTTCAGATATTGGATTACATTCCATGACCCTTAGTAACTAGAGATAAGATAAAGAACTCCAATAGTCACCTTTGCTTTTGAAATAACTCCCATAGTTTATTTTTTAAAAACAAACAAACAAACAAAACACAACCACTTTGTTTTTAAACAGGAAAGTATTCCTTAAGTCAAAAAAGTTCTGAAACTGATGTGCACAAAAAGCAGATTTCTGGAAAGTTTTGAGCACGGGATCTTGGTAAATTACTTTGCTAGCATTATAAAAATGGTAAATGCTCCAGCACCCGTAGCTGTACTACAGGAGTAGATCCACTGTGCAACAAAAAATGCCAGAATAGGGTCAATACCCATGAATCTTTCAACAGACAAACAAAACAAAATAAAATAAAAAAAAAAAAACAAAATAAAAAAAAAAAAAAAAAGCAATTGCTATCCCTTTTTCATCTTAGGATGGGAAGACAGCTGGCTGTGGAACATGAAGTCTTCTCAAACGTCCATAGAACACAAATATTTTGAGAAATTACCAAAGAAATATCTTCTTTTGGTTATTATCTGTCACATTTTTGTCCAGAGCTACCATATAACAGAGAGAGTTACTGAATGCTTTTGTGACCAATGTTTTTCACTCATTTTAGTTTCATTTTTATTTTTTAAAAGCCCACAGAGAATCAAAATCAGGACACTTCACTATCCAAAACTGCTTCAAGTGGTAGAAAATGATGGGGAACTTTACATATATGTACAAATAAACATCTCGAGGAAATAATAGGATCATACCTAGGATTTTAATAGTGATGCATACTTGGAAGATGTATCATCACATCTCAACATGCCTGTGAGGCAGAAATGTGAAGTCCCCAGTTTACAGTTGAGAAATCAAGGACAGAATAACACATTTGTGTTCCTTATCCACTGTCATAAACAAAAGGGACCTATTTCATACATGGCTATTCCTGGCTCCTGGAGACAACCAAACTGTGAACTGGCTAGAAAAAAATCTTGATTTATTTTACCTGTTTTTCTTCTCCTAAAGAAATGTTCATTTTCGCTTTTTAACCATAAACCTGACGATCTGCAGTACCCTCTGTTCTAAATGGATTGAACATGTTTTCTGAGCACAGAAGAGACAAATAAAACTTATGCACCTACTCAGTTTCTTGATTTTTTTAGAAGTTACAGAAAACTATGAATGACATTACTTGTAGTTTGGGTTTATAATGGCATCAAGCAACATTTGGACAAAGACCTGAACTTAAAAGTGAATAAACGCAGTATTTGAAAACTTTTAGTTCACCATAAGTACTTTCAATCTGCTCAAGACATTATTCTAAACAATCTTTATGAAAATTTATAGTAAACAATAATACTTTTATTCAAAGAAAAATATCAGGACCTCTCTATGGCCAAGTCATGTGTACAGACTGCTTCTGGTCAATATGGCCCAGATACACAATGGGGACTAGTTTTTGAGAAGCTGGATGCAGAATAAAGCACTGAAATTCTCCCTACTGTGGGCAGGGAGAGACCAGGCTCATAAGGCAACTCAAGCATTACTTGTACGTACTTTGAAACCAACATGGCCTCGGACACAAAGGCTCCTGCAGAGGTTCAGCTCTGACAGCAGAATCGGGTCTGTCAACATGCAGTAGCACGCTTCTCCCAGCATCGTTGTTGCTGGTGCCTGCAGACAGACTTTTATACTTCTACAAGTGAGAGATGCAAACCAGCTCTTGACCAGAAGTCAGATATATATGCTACAAAAACACTGACTGCAAACAATATGATATTACTGCCTTACAGTCCCCTAAAATATTGCACTTTGGTATCTGGAATATGCTCCTACTCTTGTTTTGGATCGGACCTTTTATCCTGCAAGATTTAGGTGGTGTTTTACCCGCCTCCAGCAGTTTTATAATTACGGATAGGAAGAAGAGAACATGTTTTTTACCCAGTTGTCAGACCTGTTTTCCACTTTGAAATGAACTGTTCTAACCAGGAAAGAAAACATTATCTCTGCACCTGCAAATGAAGCTACAGCTCCAACCAAAAGGTTGTTTTATCATTTCAGTGCTCACTCAGGCAATTAGTTAATAATTTTCCATTGTTGGATGTTCCTACTTTCTTTGAAACTTTAGAAACAAAATTTCTGTATTATAATTCAAATTTAAAAAGTTCATTAGGCTATAGTACATTTAGGCTTTGATGAAAGTTTTTATAATTGGGAGTTTAAGTAGATTATTTATAGACATATTTTAATAAACTATTTAAACTGAGACATTTG